TTTTTTTTTTTTTTTTTTTTTGAGACGGAGTTTTGCTCTTGTTACCCAGGCTGGAGTGCAATGGCGCGACCTCGGCTCACCGCAACCTCCGCCTCCTGGGTTCAGGCAATTCTCCTGCCTCAGCCTCCTGAGTAGCTGGGATTACAGGCACACGCCACCAAGCCCAGCTAATTTTTTTTTTTTGTATTTTTAGTAGAGACAGGGTTTCACCATGTTGACCAGGATGGTCTCGATCTCTTGACCTCGTGATCCACCCGCCTCGGCCTCCCAAAGTGCTGGGATTACAGGCTTGAGCCACCGCGCCCGGCCAGTCAGTTGATTTTTAAAAAGGGTACCAAGGTAATTAAATGGAGAGAGAATAGTCTTCAACAAAAGGTACAGGAAAAACTCGGTATCTTGGCTGGCATGGTGGTTCATGCCCGCTAGGTAATCCCAGCAGTTCAGGAGGCCGAGACAGGAGCATTGCGTGAGGCCAGGAGTTCAATGCCAGCCTGGGCAACATGGCAAAACCCTGTCTCTACTGAAAATACAAAAATTAGCTGGGTGTGGTGGTGCACACCTGTCATTACAGCTTCTTGGGAGGCTTAGACATAAGAATCGCTTGAACCGGGGAGGTGGAGGTTGCAGTGAGCCAAGATTTCACCACTGCACTCCAGCCTGGATGACAGAGCAAGACTCTATCTCAAAAATAAATAAATAAGGAAAACTCAGTATCTATATACAAAAGGAACCCTATCTTACCTACCTTATAGCATATACAAAAATTAATTCAAAATGGAACAAAGTCCTACATAAAAGGAGTAAAACTATAAGACTCTTAGAAGGAAACACCGGCATAGCCACACATTTTTGTGATCCTGGATTATGCAATGGTTTCTTTGATACAACAGCAGAAGTACAAGCAACAAAAGAAAAAAATAAGTGAAATTGGACTTTTTCTCCCTAATCCGGCTCTTTCTGTATTTTTATTATTTAATAATATATATATATATATATATATATATTTTTTTTTTTTTTTTTTTTTTTTTTAAGAAAGAGAGTCTTGTCCTGTCACCTAGGCTGGAGTGCAGTGGCACAAACATAGCTCACTGCAGCCTTGGACTTCTGGCCTCAAGTGATCCTCCCACCTCTGCCTCCCATGTAGCTGGGACCACAGGCATGTGCTACCATGCCCTGCTAATTTTTATTTTTTGTAGAGACAAGGTTTCACTATCTTTCCTGGGCTGATCTCGAACTCCTAGACCCAAGCAATCCTCTCGCCTTGGCCTCCCAAAGTGCTGGAATTACAGCACTGTGCCTGGAAACTTGTTCAAAATTTAAAAATTGTGCATGCCAAAGAATACCTCCCAAGAAGTGAAAGGACAACCCACAGAGTGGGAGAAAATATTTGATAAGAGACTTGTAGCCAGAATATATAAAGAACTCTTATGACTCAACAATAAAAATATAACCCAATTTAAAAATGGGCAAACAGACATGTCTGAACAGACATTTCTCCAAAGACATACAGACAGCCAATAGGCATGTCAAACAATGTTCAACAACATTACTCATGGGGGAAATACAAATCAAAACCACAATGGGATACTACTTTATATCCATTATGATGTCTGTAATAAAAAAAGACAGACAGGGCTGGGCATGGAGGCTCATTCCTGAAATGCCAGCACTTAGGGAGGCTGAGGCAAGAGGATCATTTGAGGTCAGGAGTTCGAGATCAGCCTGGCCAATGTGGTGAAACCTCATCTCTACTAAAAATACAAAAATTAGCCAGGCATGGTGGCACATGTCTGTAATCTCAGCTACTCAGGAGGCTGAGGCAGGAGAATCACTTGAACCTGGGAGGTGGAGGTTGCAGTAAGCTGAGATTGTGCCACTGTACTCCAGCCTGGGCAACAGAGCGAAACTCTGTCTCAGAGAAAATATTTTTTTTCTGTAGAGACAGGGTTTTGCCATGTTGCTCAGTCTGGTGCTGAACTCCTAGGCTCAAGATATTTGCCTGCCTTGGCCTCCCAAAGTGCTGGGATTACAGCCATGAGCCACTGCACCCAGCCTCATCTTGTTATATTATCTGTCACTTTGCTTGCTGAACTGTGCCTACTTCTAAGAACATTCTTCATCCCTTTCTAGTTTTCTGGAGCTAGAAAACTAGAAACTCAAGTTGATTATGAATAACATAGTAAATACTAGTTAATATTGTTCTGAGTAGCTCAGGAGCAAACTGCTTGCCTCTGAAACAGCTTCTTCTAGGTCCTAGTCCTCTCACTAAGCATGAACTTGGTATGTAACCACTGGAAAGCCCTTCCTTCACTCTGGGCCTCAGTTTATCTGTAAACCAAAGGACTGACTTAGTTCCCTTCTGAACGTATACAATAGATGTATGTTCTTTGCACATGTGATATTGAAATATGTAAGCCCTAAATGTGTCTAAATCTGAAATGTATCAAAGGTACCAAAATACAAAAGCAAAGTTGATAAAATACTTACGGGTACGATCCCTGTTCCAGGCATGACAGGTGATTGGCTCTAGTAAAAACTGATGCAGTGACATTATTCTTAGTGTTTTCAAAGGAGAAAAGCTGCAATGAACAACAACAAGAAGCATTTAAAGTGGCAGGTGACGAATGTTTAAGTTGTCTGAGGATCTTAAGATGTTCAGGAATAAATAAAACATTGTCCTCGGCCGGGCGCGGTGGCTCAAGCCTGTAATCCCAGCACTTTGGGACTCCGAGATGGGTGGATCACGAGGTCAAGAGATCGAGACCATCCTGGTCAACATGGTGAAACCCCATCTCTACTAAAAATATAAAAAAAAAATTAGCTGGGCATGGTGGTGCATGCCTGTAATCCCAGCTACTGAGGAGGTTGAGGCAGGAGAATTGCCTGAACCCAGGAGGCGGAGGTTGTGGTGAGCCGAGATCGCGCCATTGCACTCCAGCCTGGGTAACAAGAGTGAAACTCCGTCTCCAAAAAAAAAAACATTGTCCTCCCATTAAAAAATTATCTGGCCAGGCACAGTGGCTCACACCTGTAATCCTAGTATTTTGGGAGGCTAAGGTGTGTGGATCACGAGGTCAGCCTGTCCAATATGTTCACCCGCCTCTACTAAAAATACAAAAATTAGCCAGGCGTGGCGGTGCGCGTCTGTACTCCCAGCTACTGAGGAAGCTGAGGCAGGAGAATTGCTTGCATCCAGGAGGCAGAGGTTGCAGTGAGCCAAGAGCGCACCACTGCACTGCAGCCTGGGCAACAGAGCGAGACTCTCTCAAAACACAAAAATCGATCTCATTGTTGAAATTTAACCATCTCAATTAATCTAGCATTGTAACGTAGAATCTAGCAACTAAAGTACGATTTATTCTGTTTAGGGTCATCAGTGGAATCTTAAACCATGGATACAGGATATTCCTAGTCTCAAATTATCATCCCACAGATTGCTTACTAACTACAAAGAGAAAAAGATGCCTTTACATTGAAGAAATCTGGCAATCACAACATGATCAAACTTAGTATCATAAGCAGTGGATCAATCTAACCGGATGGGCCTCCTGATGGGAGGCCAATGAAGTACACATCATCACTTATAAATAGTGACTTAATTACCATCCAAACCAGAACACTCCTGAGAGCAAAAATAAATAATAATTATGTGGCCACAACAGGTCACAGGGCTATCCTGGAGAAACCTGGGACTATGGTCAACCTACCAGTGAAGTCTTTACCAAAGATATTTACTCTAAATCCAATCAAGAGTCAGACCTAATTTTCAGTTTATAAGAAATAAAGGGTAAAGGAACTAGTCAAGCAACACAAGGAGGAAATAAATAGTTAAAGCCAGGGTGTGCACCCTTCTATAGAAGAACTGGCCTGGATTATTTCAAAAAGGCAATATGTAGGCAGGGTGAGAACTGTTCTAGAGAGCTATGAAAACCAAATTTGATAAGTGAAAATTGATTATGATCTAATTTTTTTTTTGAGACAGAGTGGTGCCATCTCAGCTCACTGTAACCTCCACTTCCTGGGCTCCAGTGATCCTCCTGCCTCAGTCTCCTGAGTAGCTGGGATTACAGGTGTCCACCACCCATGCCTGGCTAATTTTTGTATTTTTAGTAGAGACAGAGTTTCACCATGTTGGCCGGGCTGGTCTTAAACTCCTGGCCTCAGGTGGTCCTCCTGCCTCAGCTTCCCAAAGTGCTGAGATTACAGGTGTGAGCCACCGTGTGCAGCCCATAATGTACATTTTAAAAAACGGGCAGAAAAGATGTATTTTGTACAATAGGGAAAATTAGAATTTAAACTAATATTAATTATTTTCATGTTCTTAGCTATGATAATAGTATTGCCATTAGGTAAGAGAATGTCCTACTTCTTAGGAGACAAAGATGATGATAAGTATTTAGGAACAAAGTATCATGATGTCTTCTGTAACTTCCTTTCTTTTTATGGGGGCAGGGGGAGACAGGGTCTTGCTGTCTCATCCAGACTTGGAGGGCAGTGGTGCAATCTATGCTCACTACAGCCTCCGCCTTCTGGCTCAACTGATACTCCCACCTCAGCCTCCTGAGTAGCTGGGACTAAAAGCATGCACCACCAAGCCCAGCTAATTTTTGTAGAAATGGGGTTTCGCCATGTTTCCCAGGCTGATCTGCCTGGGCTCAAGGGATCCACCTGCCTCAGCCTCCCAAAGTGCGGGGATTACAGGCATGCGCCAACATGCCCAGCCAGTGTAACTTATTTTCAATAGCTCAGGACAGAAAATATACACACCGTGAATCTAAGCAAAGAGTATGTAGGTGTTTGTGATAATACTTTTTAAACTTTCAATTCTAACTAAATGAAAAGCAGGAATCTGCAAAACATTAAATTAAAAATCAAATACAATTCTCTATTTTATAGGTACCCAAATCTAGATACACTTGAAGAAGCAACCATTACCTGAAACGGGAACATTTTTCAAAAAGCAGCCAGCCTTCCTCTATCCTCAACTTTATCATTTCCAGGAGACACCCTCACTATAAATAAAGTTTCAGCACACTTAAGTATAAGTCATGTCAACCTAGGGTGGAGGCTGAAATGTGAGATATGAATTCTGATGCAAGCAGGAAATGAATGGAAGGGCCACTAGAAGGTTGTAAAGTGAACAATGAGAGTTCAGCTGACAAAGCAGAAATCAATCTCAGTTAGAAAGCAGAAGCAGCACCTTTGCTAACTGTAAAGAAACCCAGGCAGGGAGCGGTGGCTCAAGCCTTTAATCCTAGCACTTTGGGAGGCCAAAGCAGGTGGATCACCTGATGTCAGGAGTTTGAGACCAGCCTGTCCAATACGGTGAAACCCTGTCTCTACTAAAAATACAAAAATTAGCCAGGCATGGTGGCGGGCACCAGTAATCCCAGCTACTCAGGAAAGCTGAGGCATGAGAATCACTTGAACATGGGAGGTGGAGGTTGCAGTGAGCCAAGATGGCCCCACTGCACTGCAGCCTGGGGAACAGAGTGCAACTCTGTATCAAAACAAAAAAAAGGGTGAACCCAAAGATAAGTGCAACTTTAAATAAAAAACATCTGATATCTTGAACTGGCAGAGAAATGTCAGCATTTCACATTCTATTCTAAGACTGAAGATACTTAAGTCATTACTTTTTTCTGTTATACAGTCTAGAAAGCAAACTACGACTCACAAAGAAAAAGCTTAGGAATTGGCAATTTAAAAAATTTTAAATGAATTCAAATAAGAATGTTTAATTTTTTTTTTTTTAAGACTTCCAGATGCTAACTGCAGGCTTCTCTCTTTATCTCTGATATCAGATGCTCACTCCAAATTGTTCCATCACAACAGATTTTAGTTACAGCTACTCAAAATAACACATTGTGTCATAAAATATCTCCTTAATTAAAAGCGGTTTAGTTCAAAAGCCACATTTGATAAGCTTATTTGTTAACTAAAAATAAAATTGCTCTGCAAATCAGTAATTTGATGTGAATATCTTTGTGCCATAAAAGTACATGTTTCACGTCCAGTTGAAAAGTACAGCTGCAGACAAAAGGCTTTCTTTCTTTTTTTTTTTTTTTTTTTTTTGGGACGGAGTTTCGCTCTTGTTACCCAGGCTAGAGTGCAATGGCGCGATCTCGGCTCACCGCAACCTCTGCTTCCTGGGTTCAGGCAATTCTCCTGCCTCAGCCTCCTGAGTACCTGGGATTACAGGCCCGCGTCACCATGCCCAGCTAATTTTTTGTATTTTTTAGTAGAGACGGGGTTTCACCGTGTTGACCGGGATGGTCTCGATCTCATGACCTCGTGATCCACCCGCCTCGGCCTCCCAGAGTGCTGGGATTACAGGCTTGAGCCACCGTGCCCAGCCTGGCTTTCTCATTTTTCAACTCAGTTTTATAAGCAATGTACCAAAGACTTCAAAAGAGGTGACCATTTACAAAATGGTGTACATTTCTAATTTTACCATATCATTCAAGTTCCATGTTTGGACATACACTCAAGACCTGTACTTGTTTTTTAATCATGTGGCTATTTTAAGTCTGTAGGCCAAGACAACACTCATGTTTGTCAAATTTAGAATGTACCTAGCAAACACAGCTTGCATTCATGAAACCCAGTGAATGCAGAAGAAATTCCTAATAGCCTGAATTATATACCAAGAAAGGGTACCTCTGTCATAGGATCATAATTATAATTTCTAAACTATGGTTAATGTTTAAATGAAATCTGAAAAGCTTTGTCTTAGTAGAGCTAGAGAGGAAGAAAAGGGGACAAATACAAATGTGAGCCACCCTCTTGCCTCAGCCCCCTGAGTAGCTGGGACCACAAGCATGCATCACTATGCTCTGCTACTTTTAATTTTTTTGTAGAGACAGGGATCTCCCTATGTTGCCCAGGCTGGTCTCAAACTCCTGGGCTCAAGTGATCTGCCCACTTCAGTCTCCCAAAGTGTTAAGATTACAGGGATGAGCCACTGTGCCTGGCCCCCATCCCTTTTCTTTATCACTGTGTATAGAGTTATTCTGATGTATGGCTAACCATGGGCTCTGAAGCCAAGGCTGGCTTTGAATCCTGGCTTTGACACACACTAGCTATGAGACCTTGGGCAAGTCACTTAATAGTTCTCAATCTCATTTTTTTTTCCTCTGTAAAGTGGATATACCACTGACATCACAAGGAGAATTAAATGAGACAACATGTGAAAGCAAGTAGTACAGAGCCTACTCTGAAATACATGTCAGTAGGTTCCCTTTCTTCCTTTGACCCAAGGCTTTTAAACCAACCATAGAACCCAGCAGTTAATTTCCTCTGAGCTTATAATTGTTGACATTGCTATAAATTCTTGGCCCTACTCCTTTGGAGCTTGAAAGTATTCACACAAGTGAGAATTTCTGTCCCCAGTTTAGGGTCAGTTTTTAAGACCGTGATTCACCTAGTACTTAACCAGTCTCATTACCCAACCCAGCAATATCAAGTAATCCAACAAGGTCACCACACCCTCCTCAACGTTCAGACAGGCTCCAGTCCGGGCACCAGCCTCACCAACAGACCATTTTAAACTTCTTCATGAAGGATTTGTTTCAGCATTGGGAGACAATTAGATCAAAGTATGATCACTCCCCCTCCAAAACAAGAGTTTTCCAAAATGATCCCTTCCTTTAAGTGTGATTAGTAGATGAACTCCACAAGATCTTCAAATACATACTCCGAATATGGGAGAAAATAGCCATATAAGCTGGGTGTGGTGGCCCACACCCGTAATCTCAGCACTTTGGCAGGTTGAGGTGGGGGGAGAGCTTGAGCTCAGGAGCTTCAGATCAGCTTGGGCCACATATCGAGACCTTGTCTTTACAAAAAAAAAAAAAAAAAATTAGCCAGGCATGGTGGCTCACCCTGTAATCCCAGCTACTCAGAAGGCTGTGTCGGGAAAATTGCTTGAACCACGCCACGGCACTCCAGTCTGGGCAACAGAGGGAGACTCTGTCTCCAGAAAAATTAATGAATGAATAAATGAATGAATGAAAATTAGCCCACTGTGGTGGCACATGCCTGTTGTCCCAGCTACTCAGGGGGCTGAGGTGGGAGGATCTCTTAAACCCAGGAGGTAGAGGCTGGGTGGGGGGGTGCTGGGGGAGAAAACAGCTACACAGTTACCCACTTCCTAACAGGGCAAAAACAGCTTCCTGACTGATACTCCTCCTTTGTTTTTACCTGAAAACTCAGGGCCTATGTAAAACCAAAAGACTAGATAAAATTGAGAAGAGAGGGCAGAATTAAGATAATCTCGGCAATTTAAGCTATGAGTTGACACAGACAGAAGGTTCCAAAGCTGCAGTAGAACAGATGGCTTTATGATCAAAGATTCCAAGCTATAATTTATTAAGTGCCTACCATGTTCCCAGCAGTGTTGTAAATACCGCGGGATGGGGACAGAAACATAAATAAGGCTGACACCATTCTAGTCCTCAAGTCTGGAGGGTTGGTGGTTGGGAAGAGTGGAGAAGGTAAAAAAGGAAAGAAAGACAGATATGCATAGAACGCCCAGAGGCAGTAATAATAGCTAATATTTATTGATCACCTACTCTAGGCCAGGAACTATTCTAAGCAATTTATGCAAATCCGCTCACTTGATCCTTAACAAAACAGTAAGAATCTTTTCTATTGCATATAAGGAAAACAAGCACAGAGAAGCAATCTTCCCAGGATCACCCAACAAAGTGGTGGTGCCAGGACTGGCATAAAAGATTCCACGAAGCGAACAGGAGCGCCGAGAAGGGTGCGATTTTGACTTGGGGGAAGACGGTACTCTTGCAGGGCGATCTGAAAGAACTCGGAAGAAGATTTTTCTCGAAATCGGAAAGGTTCCCCAGTAACTGAAGGATTGAGGGCTGTCCTAGAGAGAAGGCAAACATCCTATGGGCGCCTACTGTATACAGGGATCAACTCTAGACGCTAAGGAGATGAATGGTCCCGCGGGACGCCCGATTAGGAGAGATCCTCCTGCTTGACACAATTTTAGAGACGGTGACAAATGTCCCCAGCAGAGGTGCAATCAGGACCCTGGGGGCGCAGAATAGGTTGTTAATTCTGGCATCGGAGGCGGCTAGGAGCCTGAACATCCTGAGAGAAGCTCCAGGAAACCCACGGAGAAAGGGGATCCCCGCCCCCTCAGGAGGCCCCAGCAGGGAGACCCGGCCGCGCCTCAACCTCGGGGCCCCGCGGCCTAAGCCCCCACCTCACCGGCCCCGCGGGTCCAAGTCGGGCGCGAGACCGGGACAAGAGAGGCCGACAGGGTGAGACGCTTGCCTCTGCTAGACGTTACCTGGAGTCGGGGGAGTCCGGACGGGCTCGGAGCGGAGGATTCGCGGACTCTGGGCAGTCGACGCGAACAGGCTCCGGCGGGCGCGGGCGGAGGACGGAAGCCCAGAGGGAGCGGCTGACAGATCCCGGAAATGGCCATGGCGCCTGCGCGGGGCGGCCGTGCGGGCGATCTGCGCATGCGCACAACACGGGCGCGCAGTTGGGGACTAGGCAGACTGGTGAGCGAGGATACTCGGTAGGATCTGCTGCTGCTGTAGCTGCAGCGGAGGCGGTGGCGGCGGCCTTTCAGAGGGAATGCGGCCCCACGGAACGCCTGGCAAGTGCTGGCGAAGCGGCATGGGCGTCCCATTCCGTTCCTCAACCAATTTCCTCACAATCCCCAGCCAAAGTGTGGCGCCTCGGTAGTTTCGCAAGTTCTTTTGTCAGGAGATGAGTGAGGATTGGGGGTCTTTGGAGCTCTTGGACCTGACCAAGGATTGAGTTTTTCTCTCTTCAGAGAGCCCAGGTCAGAGCCAGTCGACCTCAGCGCTGCTTCCTGCAGGGAGCTTCCGTCCCCGCTGTGCTTCCACAGTGGAAAGCCCCTGAAGCCCCCCAGGAACCTTCTCGAACCTTCGCGGGGTAGAATCACTTGTTCCTTGCTCCCAAGATGGCGCCTCAGGGCAAAAGGGTTGCGGGAGCTAGGCTATGCCCCAGTTCACGGAGGACAGAGCCTGCCCCACAGATGCAGCTTCTGAGGAATGCCGTGGTTCCCCCACCTGCAACTAGGCTGCCGCCCTTGAACCCGTAGATATTCTGGAGCAGCTTCAGTCCCCACGGATGGGGCTAATCGAGAGCTTTCCTTTTTTTAATTCTTATTTTTTTTTTTTTTTAAGACAGGGTCTCGATCTGTAGCCAAGGCTGGAGTGCGGTGGCTCAATCATAGCTCACTGCAGCCTGGAACTTCAGGGCACAAGCGATCCTCCAGCCCCAGCCTCCAAATTAGCTGGGACCACAGGTGTACACCACCACGCCTGGCTAATTTTTATTTTTATTTATTTATTTAGAGACAGAGTTTCATGTTGCCCAGGCTGGAGTGCAGTCGCGCAATCTTGGCTCACTGCAATCTCTGCCTCCCGGGTTCAAGCGATTCTCCTGCCTCAGCCTCCCGAGTAGCTGGGATTACAGACATGCACCATCACGCCCGGCCTAATTATTTTGTGTTTAGCAGAGACGGGGTTTCTCCGTGTTGGTCAGGCTGGCCTCCAATTCCGAACCTCAGATGACCCGCCCACTTCGGCCTCCCAAAGTGCTGGGATTACAGGCGTGAGCCACTGTGCCTGGCCGGCTAATTTTTATTTTTTGGTAGAGTCAGGGTCTTGCTGTGTTGCCCAGGCTGGTCTTAAACTCCTGGACTGAAGCAGTCCTCCCTCTTTAGCTTCCCAAAGCCCTGGGATTACAGGTATGAGCCACTGTGCCTGGCTAATTTTTATATTTTTTGTAGAGATGGGGTTTTCCTATATTGTCCAGGCTGTTCTTGAAGCCCTGGGCTCAAGTAGTCCTCCAGCCTGTACTTCCCAAAGCACGGTGTGAGCCCCGCCCCTGTGCCAGGCCGACCAAGGACTTATCTCCTTCCTTTTGGTATTTAACGTGTTTTATCCCAATGCTTGGTTGGTTGCAAGTTGAGGTTTACGTAGGTGTACTTGTCAAACACTCAATTTCAGACCTGATAGGTTGTTATTTATTTATTTTTTTTTGAGACAGAGTGTTGCTTTGTTGCCCAGGCTGGAGTGCGGTGGCATAGTCTCGGCTTACTGCATCCTCTGCCTTCTGGGTTCAAGTGATTGTCCTGCCTCAGCCACCCAAGTAGCTAGGACTACAGCCTCGTGCTACCAGGCCAACCTAATTTCTGTAGTTTTAGTAGAGACAGGGTTTCACCACGTTGGCCAGGCTGGTCCTGAACTCCTGATCTCAGGTGATCCGCCCACCTCAGCCTCCCGAACTGCTAGGATTACAGGCATGAGCCACCTTGCCTGGCCAGACCTCCTGTGTTCTTTCGAGTCACTGCAGGTGTCCCCAACCTCCTGGCTGCCGACCAGTACTGGTCCATTGCCTATTAGGAACCCGATGGCACATGAGGTGAGTAGGGTGAGCCCACGAAGCGTCATGTGTATTTACAGCTGCCCCCCATCTCATATTACTGCCTGAGCTCTGCCTCCTGTCACATCAGTGAGGGCGCTAGATTCTCGTAGGAAAGTGAACCCTATTGTGAACTGCACATGCCAGGGAACTAGGTGGCATGCTCATTATGAGAATCTAATGCCTGATGGTCTAAAACCATCCAGCCCCTCTCCCCTGGCCCCTGCCCCCACAGTCCGTGGAAAAATTGTCTTCCATGAAACCAGTCCCTGTTGCCAAAAAGATTGGGGACCACTGAGTTAGTGAATCCAGCTGTTTATGGAGCACAATGCACTGAAAGTCACTGATTTTAACTCTGCCCCATGGTTACAAAGTCTTTGGTCACAGGGGAATCAAGCAGATAGAGCAGAAAGATCATTGTAAATTACCCCCTCCAAGAGACAACTTGGGAAAGAGAGGACAGCAGGTATGGAAAGCAGGGATTCCTTATGTGTCTGCCAAGTTATATGAACCAATTCCCAAATATGTAGAGGGGTTTATGAAGATTCCACTTCTTTATAAGGAACACTTATTGCTTTGATGGAATTTATTATCTGGGCAGATGACAGTAACACATTCAAATTAATACCAGACTTTATGATAAGTGACAAGAAATGTTATACCAGAAAAATAACAGATGGGCCGGCATGGTGGCTCACGCTTGTAATCCCAGCACTTTGGGAGGCCGAGGCTGGCAGATCACGAGGTCAAGAGACTGAGACCATCTTGGCCAACATGGTGAAAGCCTGTCTCTACTAAAACTACAGAAATTAGGTTGGCCTGGTAGCACATGACTGTAGTCCTAGCTACTTGGGTGGCTGAGGCAGGAGAATCACTTGAACCCAGGAGGCAGAGGCTGCAGTGAGCCGAGATCGTGCCACTGCACTCCAGCCTGGCGACAGAGTGAGACTCAAAAAAAGAAAAATAGCAAACATTTACTATTAATCTCTGGTTCTGATTTGGAATAGTGTTTTGCAGTTTCAAAGCTTCCCATTTGATGCATTTCCCTTCCTATTTTCTTTTTTTTTTTTTTTTTTTTTTTTTTTTTT